TGTGTCTATCATAAATCTTTAGTGGGTTTAAATGGAGAACGTTTTAGAAGTTCAAGTTTTAGTTGAAGGGTCAGGTGGAATTCCACTGTAATGCTTTCTTGACGCTGCTTATATGAATTAGCGCAGTATCCACCAGGATAAACTAAACAGGGCTTCTCTTTTCTGCTTCTCTTTATCAAAGCTCCTCCAGTGAGAAGGCCTTGGGTCCGATTAAGTCTGTGAAACACGGATGACATCTAACACTGATCCACTCCAAACAGCACCCCTAAGGCAGTCAGAGGGCTGTGGTGTTGACTCACAAATCCAGTTAACTACTGTGACTCTCAGTGTGGAGCTTACCAGGCCAATACTTTTGAATATAAATTATAATCATTTCATGATAAAAAGGGGATTGATTTTCTATAACTAAAAGAAAAATCAAAAAGAAGGATGATTATTATATTTGCTTGAATTAGAGCAGCTACAAAAACATCTGATAGGTATAGAAAGAGCTATGCTCCACATACTAAGTGCTACCTGGTCTGGGGGGATGATACAGTCGGTCCTGCGCTAGTAATCAAACTGACTTGAAAACAAGGGAAGAATAATCTAGCCGGATGTGGTGGCTTGGATCTTAGCACTCGGGAGGCACAGGTAGGCAGATCTCTGTTCGAGGCCAGTCTGGTCTACAAATTGAGTTTTAGGACAGCCAAGGTTGCATAGAGAAACCTTGTCTTGAAAAACCAAAGAGATGAGAAGAACAGAATGTGTATAGTGTCCTTGACATTCAAGGTTATGGGGAATACCAGGCAAACAAAATTAATATATGATTAATATTTTATCCAAAAAATGACTCTCCAGTTGGAATTATCTTAGAGATTGGTGGCAGAAGACTCTCTCCATCGTTCAAATACTCATCCTCCCGGAATCATTTGTTTCAAAAGACAAGAAGAGGAAGATCAAAAAACAACCTGATATAGTAAGGAAAATTGTGAATATGAACCCTGTTATAAAATACATCACTTGTTAAAAAAGAAAAAGAAATCTCATACCAATGATTACAGGCCACTCCAGTGATGTGAGATTGCCCTCTGTATGCTGTGAATGTTATTTGATAATAAAGAAGCTGCTTTGGGCCTATTGCAGTGCAGAATAGGGTAAGACAGGAGATCTGGTTCTCATAGGCACAAGAAAGAGAATGAAGGAGCAGGACAAACTCCATTCTGAGAAAGAACTCCATTTTAGCTGCACTTGACCTAGGGCTGACCCAGCTTCGGTTAAAGTCAGAATAACATTTCTTAGAAAAACCACAAACTGTGCCTGCTCCCGGTCAAAGTGACCCCACCCGGTGGCCAGCCAATGGCTAGCAACAATGCTTGCTTAAGATGTCCTTGTGGGCATCTAATAATTGCTGTTTGGAAACTCCCCTAGACTCAGCCAATGAATTCAAAAGTCACCTACCCTTACTGGATTTGCATCCAATCATGTAACGCCAAGGCTGTACCACCCTGCTTGAGGTTTTTCCCTTTAAAAACACCCTGCTT